AATAACACACAAACACAAACCTGATCAGTTACACACCCCACTTCACAATAACACACAAACACAACCCTGATCAGTTACACACCCAACTCCACAATAACACAAAAAAACACTGATCAGATACACACCCAAATCCACAATAACACATAAACACCCCCCTGATCAGTTACACAGCCCACTCAACAATAACACAAACACACCACTTATCAGTTACACAGCCCACCCCACAATAACACACAAACACCCCCCTGATCAGTTACACACCCCACTTCACAATAACACACAAACACACCCCTGATCAGTTACACACCCCATTTCACAATGACAAACAAACACTTCCTTGACCACTTACACAGCCCACTCCACAATAACACACAAACACAAACCTGATCAGTTACACACCCCACTTCACAATAACACACAAACACCCCCCCCCTGATCAGTTACACACCCCACTCCACAATAACACACAAACACCCCCCTGATGAGTTACACACCCCACCCCACAATAACACAAACACCCCCCTGATCAGTTACACACCCCACTTCACAATAACACATAAACACACCCCTGATCAGTTACACACCCCACTTCACAATAACACACAGACACCCCCCTGATCAGTTACACACCCCACTTCACAATAACACACAAACACCCCCCTGATCAGTTACACAGCTCACCCAACAATAACAGAAACAGCCCCCTGATCAGTTACACACCCCACTCCACAATAACACATAAACACCCCCCTGATCAATTACACACCCCACTCCTCAATAACACATAAACACCCCCCGATCATTGACACACCACACCCCACAATAACACAGAAACGACCCCCTGATCAGTTACACACCCCACTTCACAATAACACACAAACACAACCCTGATCAGTTACACACCCCACTTCACAATGACAAACAAACACTTCCTTGACCACTTACACACCCCACTCCACAATAACACACAAACACAAACCTGATCAGTTACACACCCCACTTCACAATAACACACAAACACAACCCTGATCAGTTACACACCCAACTCCACAATAACACAAAAAAACACTGATCAGATACACACCCAAATCCACAATAACACATAAACACCCCCCTGATCAGTTACACAGCCCACTCAACAATAACACAAACACACCACTTATCAGTTACACAGCCCACCCCACAATAACACACAAACACCCCCCTGATCAGTTACACACCCCACTTCACAATAACACACAAACACACCCCTGATCAGTTACACACCCCATTTCACAATGACAAACAAACACTTCCTTGACCACTTACACAGCCCACTCCACAATAACACACAAACACAAACCTGATCAGTTACACACCCCACTTCACAATAACACACAAACACACCCCTGATCAGTTACACACCCAACTCCACAATAACACAAAAAAACACTGATCAGTTACACACCCAAATCCACAATAACACATAAACACCTCCCTGATCAGTTACACAGCCCACCCCACAATAACACACAAAGACGCCCCTGATCAGTTACACAACCAACTTCACAATAAGACACAAACACCCCCCTGATCAGTTACACACCCCACTTCACAATAACACACAAACACAGCCCTGATCAGTTATACACCCCACTCAACAATAACACACAAACACCCCCCTGATCAGTCGCACTCCCCATCCCACAATAACACACAATCACAACCCTGATCAGTTTCACACCCCACTTCACAATAACACACAAACACCCCCCTGATCAGTTACACACCCCACTCAACAATAACACACAAACACCCCCCTGATCGGTTACACTCCCCACCCCACAATAACACACAAACACCCCCCTGATCAGTTACACACCCCACTTTACAATAACACAAAAACACACACCTGATCAGTTACACACCCCACTCCACAATAACACACAAACACAGTTACACCCCCCCACAATAATACACACCTCCACAAGAACACACAAACACAATAACACACAAACAACACCCTGATCAGTTACACCCCATACCCCACAATAACACACAAAGACCCCCCCTGATCAGTTACACACCCCATCCCACAATAACACACAAACACACCCCTGATCAGTTACACACCCCACTCCACAATGACACACAAACACCCCCTGATCAGTTACACTCCCCACTTCACAATAACACACAAACACCCCCCTGATCAGTTACACACCCCACTCCACAATAACACACAAACACAGTTACACCCCCCCACAATAATACACACCTCCACAAGAACACACAAACACAATAACACACAAACAACACCCTGATCAGTTACACCCCATACCCCACAATAACACACAAAGACCCCCCCTGATCAGTGACACACCCCATCCAACAATAACACACAAACACACCCCTGATCAGTTACACACCCCACTCCACAATGACACACAAACACCCCCTGATCAGTTACACTCCCCACTTCACAATAACACACAAACACCCCCCTGATCAGTTACACACCCCACTCCACAATAACACACAAACACACACCTGATCAGTTACACACCCCACTCCACAGTAACACATAAACACCCCCATGATCAGTTACACACCCCACTCCACAATAACACACAAACACCCCTGATCAGTTACACACCCCACTTCACAATAACACACAAACACACCCCTGATCAGTGACACACCCCACTCCACAGTAACACACAAACAAAGCCCTGATCAGTTACACACCCCACTCCACAGTAACACATAAACACCCCCATGATCAGTTACACACCCCACTCCACAATAACACACAAACACCCCTGATCAGTTACACACCCCACTTCACAATAACACACAAACACACCCCTGATCAGTGACACACCCCACTCCACAGTAACACACAAACAAAGCCCTGATCAGTCGCACTCCCCATCCCACAATAATACACAAACACATCCGACCCCACAATAACACACCCTTGTCCGACACCTCATTCACACACCCGGATTTACCTCCCCACACTGATCCCTCAGCACAAAAACCGGACCCATCACACACACACGACCCTTCATTCCCCTAACCGATCCTTCGTTCCTACGTTCAACCCCTCATCCCACACCAGTACCCGTGTCCCTCTACCCGACCCCTCACCCCACACCAGTACCCGTGTCCCTCCACCCGACCCCTCATCCCCACACCAGTACCCGTGTCCCTCCACCCGACCCCTCATCCCACACCAGTACCAGTGTTACTCCAACCGACCCCTCATCTCACACCAGTACCCGTGTCCCTCCACCCGACCCCTCATCCCCATATCAGTACCCGTGTCCCTCCACCCGACCCCTCATCCCACACCAGTACCCGTGTCCCTCCACCCGACCCCTCATCCTCACACCAGTTCCCGTGTCTCTCCACCCGACCCCTCATCCCACACCAGTACCCGTGTCCCTCCACCCGACTCCTCATCCCACACCAGTACCCGTGTCCCTCCACCCGACCCCTCATCCTCACACCAGTTCCCGTGTCTCTCCATCCGACCCCTCATCCCACACCAGTACCCGTGTCCCTCCACCCGACTCCTCATCCCACACCAGTACCCGTGTCCCTCCACCCGACCCCTCATCCCCACACCAGTACCCGTGTCCCTCCACCCGACCCCTCATCCCACACCAGTACCCGTGTCCCTCCACCCGACCCCTCATCCCCACACCAGTACCCGTGTCCCTCCACCCGACCCCTCATCCCCATATCAGTACCCGTGTCCCTCCACCCGACCCCTCATCTCACACCAGTCCCCGTGTCCCTCCACCCGACTACTCATCCCACACCAGTCCCCGTGTCCCTCCACCCGACCCCTCATCCCACACCAGTCCCCGTGTCCCTCCACCCGACCCCTCATCCCCACACCAGTACCCGTGTCCCTCCACCCGACCCCTCATCCCCACACCAGTACCCGTGTCCCTCCACCCGACCCCACACCAGTACCCGTGTCCCTCCACCCGACCCCTCATCCCCACATCAGTACCCGTGTCCCTCCACCCGACCCCTCATCCCCACACCAGTACCCGCGTCCCTCCACCCGACCCCTCATCCCACACCAGTACCCGTGTCCCTCAACCCGACCCCTCATCCCACACCAGTACCCGTGTCCCTCCACCCGACTACTCATCCCACACCAGTCCCCGTGTCCCTCCACCCGACCCCTCATCCCCACACCAGTACCCGTGTCCCTCCACCCGACCCCTCATCCCCACACCAGTACCCGTGTCCCTCCACCCGACCCCACACCAGTACCCGTGTCCCTCCACCCGACCCCTCATCCCCACATCAGTACCCGTGTCCCTCCACCCGACCCCTCATCCCCACACCAGTACCCGCGTCCCTCCACCCGACCCCTCATCCCACACCAGTACCCGTGTCCCTCCACCCGACCCCCCATCCCACACCAGTATCCGTGTCCCTCCACCCGACCCCTCATCACCACACCAGTACCCGGCTGCTGCTTCAAAAGTCTTGACACAGCACTTCCTTATCCCATAAACCGTTCCACTCTGAAACACCCACGTTGCGTATGAGAATTACAGCGCATCGCTTTAAGATTTTATCGTCACTGGATCGGAAATCACAAACGTCCCTGCTTAATCGGCCACACGGATCCATGTTTTTATACTCGCCTGGTCACTGTTGATCAGGTCGTTTGAAGCAGAAGTTAGAATTGTTCTGAAGCTCATTATAATCAATACACTCACTCTCCGCCGAAGACCAGTCGGAAAATTGCGGGGATGTTGCCACAAAACTGGTAATTTTATCTCACTGCAATTGTAGTTAGATACGTAATCTAAGCAAAGCCAGAAAGAGTCGAAAGTGAAGGCCGACCATCATAATAGTTTCAAAGGGGCAGTCCACGGCCTGTGGCTTTGTAATGAGGGCTAATTAAGTTGTAAAGTGGGACGTTCTCTCCCACAAAGCAACTCCTCCGCGGTGCATCCATGGCACAGGTATTCACAGATCGCTCTTGGGTTGCGGTCTGAACCATTGGGAGGGAGACAGAGAGGGAAACTCTCACGTGTGACGTCACCCATGTCTATTTTTGGCCTCTAATGCTTCTGGGCCCTGACTGCAGTGGAAGAGTGTTGAGCATATCTGTATCGAAGCCCGGCCTGCCCCTGCACAATGGAGAGCGGTAGGACTAGCTTTCGATCCACTTTACAGTAGTTCCACTGAATCTACCAACACAAATAGGCCAGTTTGCAAACGAAAGGCCTGTTGCACGTTCGCACCATGGCGCTCTCTCGCCTTTTCTCTCTATCCATTTGTCGCCTGCTCAGTGCAGATGTATCGTCTGCTCTCTGTACGAACATCGCCTGCCCGTGACATGTGTGTTGGTCTAGTGCGCGGGATACTAGAAAGAAGATTACATTTGTGATTTGCCGGACTAGCATTCTCTGTCGGGAAACTGCATCAGTTAGTTGCTGTCGCCGAGCACGGTGGAGTTTCTAGGCTCGAGTTGGATTACTTCAAGAAACTTTGTGAGGGCAATGTAGACAGCCACGTTTATACCGACTCGGACCATGTCTGACTCACACTCACAGGATCTTAATAGTGGTGTATGTTTGTAACAAGGAACAGACTTTAACATGGAGAATACCCCTATGTTGAAGACATCTCGTCGACCACGAGTCCGCCGTCTGTTCAGTCGTTACCACTTCCACTGTGACGAACTGGAGCATCTGTATGGGAGATACGTTTACAAGCTTCAACAATCGGCTTTGGGATACTTGTTGGGGCTTTTCATACTCCTTTCGTTATGCCTAGCGATCCTGGATTTCTCCTATGCAAAATATGTGACTGTGGAGGCCCTGTACCTCACTGTACAGTTTGTAGTGTTCTTAGGTTTGCTGATACTGATTAATACCCGCTGTATGAAGGAGATTCACTTCCCTGTTGTGTGCTACGTTGTGCTCCTGTTATTAATTTGCTTCGCAATCTCATCTCTGCCCCTGGATTTTGGATTGGATATACCTGATCGTCCACGTCCTAAGAAGAACCTTGCGGACGGAGTATGGCAGACCGTGTATGTCATATTTATGATATACGCAATGATGCCTATAAGGTCCCTCATCGCTATACTTTTGGGATTTTTGTTACCTGTGCTCCACCTGACTGTCTCTGCCCTAGTTGCCAACAGGTTCCCCTTGTTGCTATGGCGACCGGTAAGTTTATCTTTTTTTCACTTTCGAGTTGTTGGCCCACGGAAGTGAGCTATCCGGCGACCTATGGTTTAAAATTAGCACATTTGACGCAGGCGCTAAAATGCTGCACGTCTGTCTATCTTATGTAATCAAAGATTTGAGCACCCTTCATCTTCCATCATTTGAAATGGGCACCAACACATAGCATGTTTGATTAGGAAGTTAAGAAACAGCCTAGAAGAATAACATTTGCTGACTAAGGGCTGTCCGTGTCTTCTAGCTGCATTGTTTGATAAACTCCACGATAGGAGAAGCCGCCAGCTGTTTATCCATATCCGCGATGTGTTTAAGAATAACGTTTTTGAGGTTGCTCTAAGTTTGAGGGATAATGAAACAAACTATATTCGTTCACAGATGACAATTTATTTTCATCGCGATTAAATGCATACTTATAGGTCGTGGAATGTGGATGATCTTTCCATTCATTGAGGACGTTGTGACGTCAATGTAGTGGAATATCTTTGAATGTTTTATATTTTTACATACATGGATCTATTATAGTTTGATGTGTGAGATGAAATGAAACGATTATACTTCAAACCTGCTAGGTGTATATTTTGAAAATATGGAATATTTACACTTGACATAAGGAAACATCCAACAGTCCTCTTAAAACAGGCGTATACGTCTCTGTCCATACCGTCATTAGTAACACACGAAATACATATGAAACTGTAAATTCACCGCCATTGAACATACTTCACTCCGCTTGAGAACATTAACACATGTTACCCGTAAATTATCACTCTCCCAGACATAAAATCTTGTCTATATGCACCTTCACATGTGTCCGTGTCCCTTTGGACACTTCACTATCTTAGCGGCAGGCGTGGGGGACCGATATCACGATGACATAGGCGATGCGGCGGAGAAGTCACCATGCGCTGTGTTTGTGTCAGCGCAGTGCAATCAACTAACGCACACGAAGCTGGTTCTCCTTAAAACCCTTTTACCAACTACTGGAAGCGTTTATACCGTCCTCCCAACCTTGTTGGGCCCTGCGATGCTGGACCATTAGAGTCCATCACATTGCCGACGAGCGTCATACAATTTCTTGTACTATCTTCGCGATATCCACAGGGAAATTTAATGTATGGCTCCATGGTTGCGGGAGGAAATGTTTGTTGAAGGTTGTGCTTTTGAGATGTACTTTTATTTCTTCATTTTAGCTACGGTATAAACGTGTGTTTTCTGAGTATGTGCTCTGGTGGCGGGAATCAGAGTTATTGAGAGCACTAGATTTGTGTATAGACAGTATAGTACATTGCAGTTATGTTTGAAACAGTATTTGACTCCAGATTATTGAAAGTAGAAATGAGTTGAAGCAGATAGGCATGGATCGTTGCTGCTACTGTCGACCACTATATGTCTGGCCCGAATGCTGATCTCACACCGCTGTGATATGGTTGTGATACTTCTGCCTTCGCTTCATACATCAATATGCCATGGCGTATTCCGGAGACATGAGTGTGAGCCATATATCGTCACCAGCAAAGTCAGTAATTCAAGTTTAGCGTAGCAGTCAAAATGTTACGATGTATTCGCTATTTGTGTATGTTGTTACATGCAGTACTGTTACTACGTGCTGCGTTCGATATAATCATTTGAGTGACATGAGTCAATCGAGGCTACCATTCTTCTGGTATAACAGGCTTCAGCAAACCCATGCTTGCCGTAAAAGGCGACTATGCTTGTCGGATGTGGCGACTAACGGGATCGGGTGGTCAGGCTCGCTGACTTGATTGATGCATGTCATCGTATCTCGGTTGTTGAGATCGATGATCATAATGTCAATCACTGGATTGCCTGCTCCAGACTCGATTATTTACAGGCCGTCGTCATATATCTGGAATATTGCTTAGCTGAACGACAATCAAACAATAGATTCGAGCTGAGTGAACTAGTGTTGATCAAGCAGAACTGAGGGCAGTGTCCCAAATATAGCGCATAACATGCAACCTTAGATATAATACAAAATGGCTACCAGGAGAAAAACGCTACAACCATGTGTATTGCTATGAGAGGTTAGCCAGTATTTCATTGCTTGGCAAAGCTGCCATTGTACATTGCCTCTTTAATGCATGTGAAACAGAGATGCAAATTCATCATCAAAGTCAACTTTCATTATTGATTCGAAACTATTCATATGACACACTGAAAGATAACTGTCCCTCACGCATGTAGGTATGGGCGGCTGTTTGGCGTAATAAGTTATCAGGTTTTGCCATTGGTCATCACGGGTTCCCCTGGGTCGTCTAGGGTTTACACAATGACTTTACCTTCATGATAAGTAGATATCAAGAGCTGAGTCGTTTGAACTGCCACTTATAAGTTATTGCAAAATGGAGTTGGAGTTCAAATATCAACTATTTGTATCCTAGCTCAATATGTGTGACGACTATCAACCCGACAGTTTAGGAGCACCCTAATTACACGTATGTCTTGCTCGCAAGACGCAAATGTCGTTTTGACCAATTCTGTTACTGGTCAATGGACCTATTTACGACAGCGGCCTGCGCGTCATAGGAAAGGTTGGGGTGGTATAGAGTTTGCAATGTTGACTTGTAAAGTATGGATTCATTTCAGTTATAAGATGAATTATTGCGCAATGTTCGTGCATGACTTCCCTAAAGCATGCACACGTTATTGTTCAATATGATGTTATAGTCATTGTCAAGTCTTGCACAGACACTTGTACATTGTACTTCACGTGGTCAGAAACTACCCATGAAGCGTGGCAGAGAAATAGAACAATTCAGACATCACGTATACTCCCACAGCGCGTAGTATCTTATATCTCTTAAAATACTCACTGCTAATAGGATATTGTACACACACACGCACACACGCACACACGCACACGCAGAGCGCAGCAGACCTTCAGCTTTTCCCATCCCAGTACATCAACTGCTGGCCATTCTGCATCCAGACCAGATGTCTTAAAGCGCTAATTACCTTAACTTAGTGAAAGGTGGAACTAGCAACGAGTGTGTGTATCTGTCGGTATCCTACAGGTATGACGTCATTATGTTGAATAACACAGCCTTGATGCTGCAACACACTGTCATTAATGACTGCCATTTCTAAACATCTGAAATCGTTTTTCAGTCCACATGGCTTACATCGTTAACCTCCTTACGTCACTGCAGCAGGGCCAGCCAGCCAGCCAGACCGACTGTAGTGGTCCCCTACTGTCCCCTACTGACAGTTTCCGGTGTTCCTGGCATCCAGGGCACAACCAGTCCCTGATGTGTCTACAGTGATTACACACGGAAGCCAATATCAATCAGACTTCGCAATTATTTCCTTTTAGGAACAAAGACACGCATATAAGTTTGATTATTTCTTATGTCGGTTGCAAGTGTATGTTGAAAATAGGCACTGCGTGTATTTCACGTGTTTCAGATTAATTATTGCTTTGCCGCGTTGCTTATCAAACACCACAGGGATAATTATATATTGATATTTTGTTAATTTTTTACCACGGTACTCACGTTAATCGTTGAAATCAATCACAGATATACATAGCTGGATGTGACTATTATTGAATACTGGTTTGCTGACAAGTGGTTTTGTAGCAATCGTAATCACCTGAAGTGTTACCTGGGGCACTATGCTAAATCCCCCTGAAGATCTGTGAAGATCCGGCATAGAATAGTATAGAAGGTTAAAAGGTTGATGCTAGTCTTCGTATCCCGGTTGCGTAGATCGATGCTTATGATGTCAATCACTGGATTGTTTGGTCCAGATTCGTATATTTACAGACCGTCGTCATATAGTTGGACTATTGAGTTCGGCGTTATAGAAACAAACGAGCCATATGTTTTGATGCGCTTTAGCTTAGATACAGACTCTTGACAGTGCTTGACAGTACATTTGTACCTTCTTCCTCCACGTTGTGACATTATAGGCCAATTCTCGAGCCTGAGAAGGTATGATTTGAACATGCTTACCAGCTTTGACATGTTTATTTGTTTGTAATTAACTTCTATCAAACGACTTTTCGAGAACTCTGGTATGGACTTGTCACACCGTCCTCTTGATAGTCTTATGAGCAACGCGTGAGTCTACAGGAGCAAGGTCAATTTCCTCGTCATGACCTGCACGTGCACAACATGCGTACATCTCTCTACCTGTAACAACTAAATATGTTTGCCCAAATTCTGTGCACGATCTTCTTGTCTCAAACACGGATTGTGAGTTGGCTTTACTTATCCTGGACTACCAGTAGTTGATCAGTTATCCAGATATTGTATTTGCTATTTCGATCAACCATTAATCATTTATGGTTTTCGTACTCGGATTTCGAGTTTGAAAGGTCATTCCCGACTTACCAATATACACCTCCTATAGAAACACCGCCCAGGCTTGGTCTGGTGCTCACCAACGCATGTTGCCCATCCATTATTCAAGCAAATAGTCTCATCTTTACATACGATTTACAACTCTGGTGTGTGTAAGTATTCATGTTCTGGCCACACGCTCGTTACTGTTACACCCTTACCAAGGATATGTACCCGTGCGCAGTGACCAGTTGGTCTAAAACATGTCAATGTCCCGTTATGCCCGACAGCCAGGCGGACATGCTATCATTCTTTGAAAGCATTCCTATTGATAGTGGTACATCTAGGTATGGTTGACATCACTTCCACAATAGACTAGTACAACTATCACACGACTTTCTACAGAAGGGTTGCAATACGAGACCTATACAACTATCATAAGCGAATTTATAACAGGGACCACTTAGGTTGAGCAGTGGGTTCATTACATGTCTATCAATGTCTATCTATAATCAACAATTCCGAGCGATTTCTCTAACTTAACCATGTTATGATTGATATGTACATACATACACACACACACACACACACACACACACACACACACACACACACACACACACACACACACACACACACACACACACACACACACACACACACACACACATATATATA